GACAGTGGGCGAGCACATTTTTGTGTGCTCCATTTGCCTAAGTGGTGGCGGGTATGCCCGCCACTCATGTAATGGAGCTGTGTGCGTGCCTACCACTGGCGCAGAACGCTCCCCTCTCCACCCCGCGCCGGTCCATAAACGCAGAAAGACTGGGGAACTGCACTAGTGCGGACCAGCTAGTCTAAATTAAATTAGCAAATTAGTCACAGAAACACAGCAGAAGACTGACAGCCAGCTACAGATATCAAAGCACCTAGAGTTGCCTTTGGTGAGATGGGCAGCTATATAAATTTGATCAATACATACATGATTAATAAATCAAAGATTATTATTGCATACCAAAGGAGGCAGCTTGTTTTCTGTTTTTCAGAGATTATGAATGAAGTCAATATGGCAGTTAGGAGGAATTTCCTGGTAGCAGGAGCTCTTAACAGCCGAATACATTGCCTCACAATGTAGTATGTTCATTCACCAGAAATCTTCAGAACCTGGATCTGTACTGAAGGGAAGTTGGACTAGATGACCTCTGAGGTTGTTTCTAATNCGTTGAGTCATGCCGGCCACATGACCACGGAGACGTCTTCGGACAGCGCTGGCTCTTCGGCTTTGAAACGGAGATGAGCACCACCCCCTAGAGTCAGGAACGACTAGCACATATGTGTGAGGGGAGCCTTTATTTAACAGTGATATATGCCACCAAAGCCCCCCTGGATTTTATGTAGCACGGACAGGTTAGACTTGTCTATGGAGAGTCTCAGTCATGCAGGTGATGGTTGTCCCAAAGGAGCTGAAGAAACATCTTGGATGTGAAACCTCTTCAAAGAAAACCAGAAAGTCCAGTTGACTCTTGAAAAATCCACCATTGTGCAAAAATAAAAAAATAATGGACACAAGGAGTTATCAAACAGGAGCAGAGTAAAAACAACATTCTCAGGTTTATTTCATCACAGATCTCATTGAGTGGGAGACAGCTGAGCATTGAAAGGTTTCAGGATATCTCAGAAGGATTTAGCAAAAAAGAAGGCTTTTAGTACATTGCAGATGTTAATAAGGTGCATGTAATTGACCCCCACCATGGAACTTTCATCTGCAAAACTTCCTTATCTTCCCCTCTCTTGACTCACCCAATGCATTTAAATTCCTCATGAATCATATCACTTTGCATATGATCAAGTGAGTTTTTTCCCAAGAGATCTTACCATTTAAATAACATTTTCAATCTTAAACACAGGCTATTGGATATTTTCTGAATTTTATTTACCAGGACGATCCAATGCAGGTGATCCTCAGAGTACGGCCACAATTGAGTCCAAAATTTCTATTATTAAACAAGGCAGTTGTTAAGTGAATTTTGCCCTGATTTATGACCTTTTTGTCATTGTTGTTAGGCAAATCACTCCAGTAGTTAAGTGAGTCATGCTGTCATTAAGCGAATCTGGCTTCCCCCATTGATTTTGCTTGTTGGAAACCAGCTGGAAGATTACAAATCACATGACCCTGGGACGATGCAACTGTCATAATGCATGTTGGTTGCCAAGTGTCCCCAGTTTGATCAAGTGCCCATGGCAATGCTACAACGTCCTGTCAGTTATTTCAGTGCCATTGTAACTTTCAATGGTCACTAAACAAATGGTTGTAAATCTAGGATAACTTGTGCAAATTCCACATGTGAAGTTTATGGGATATCTTGGATTAGGCACCATATTAATCCAATCCAATCCCCATTGCTCAATATATATGGGTCCAATTCCTTCTCAAAATCCCTTTTAAAGCCATTTATGGCATGGGACCGGTTACCCAAGCAATATCTTGTCCCAATTGTATTGTTTTGTGCCACCCAGTCAGGCAGGGAGGATATCTTATGGTTAAAGAATTTCACCTGGTATGTGCCAAGGTTCAAGGTTCATTTTATTTATATGCCGCCCTATTCCCAGCGGGACTCAGGGCGGCGCACAAACCCAAGGGACGGGAAGGGAAACACAAAGATGTACAACAAAAAATACTAGGGAATTTAAAACAACCAACAGCCACACAATTCGAGAGGGGAGGGGAACTCATCGACCCCAGGCCTGCCG